AAATCTTTCATTTTTTTGCCTCTCTTGATTTTTCCTCTTTTTAAATTAGTATTTAATATTTTTCTATATGATATAAATTTGGCTGTAATAGTTTTAGGACCGTTATTGTAAGTTATTTTGTTAGATAAGCTCCAGATTTGGCTTCAGTGCTGACTAATCTAATGTATATGCTCAAATATAATATATATATATATATATATATATATATATATATATATATATATATATATATATATATATATATATATATATATATATATATATGTAAAGCTTCCTATTAAAAATATGAATTTACAAGAGAGATTTGTGAGGGGTGTACTTATATAAGCCGAGCATTGTAAATAAAATTAAAAATAATTTAAAAACTATAGACTACTTAGACCCATATACAGTTGAAGTTAGAATTATAAACTGATCTGATCTGAATATCTGATAATATTTTTCCTTTTAGAAAAAATCTTTTTTATTAGTTTTATTTCGGCTAGAATAAAATCAGTTATTAATTTTTTAAACAACATTAATTTTTTAAACACCATTTTAAGGACTAAATTATTAGCCCCTTTAAGCTATATTTTTTCAATAGACTACAGGACAAACCATCACAATAACTTGCATAATTACCCTTACCTGCCTAATTAACCTAGTTAAGCCTTTAAATGTTACTTTAAGCTGTATATAAGTGTCTTGAAAAATATCTAGTCAAATATTATTTACTGTCATCATGACAAATATTAAATAAATCAGTTATTAAAAATTAGTTATTAAAACTATTATGTTTATAAATGTGTTGAAAAAATCTTCTCACCATTAAACAGAAATTGGGGGAAAAAATTAATGGGGGCCTAATAATTCAGGGGGGCTAATAATTCTGACTTCAACTGTATGTTATTAAGTATACATTTCACTAATTTTCTTCTACACAAGCTACACAATCAACATTCTGGTGCACGATTTTTCACATTTTACTTGTTGCATCTCTGGGTCTGATGTTTATAAAGGCCCGAGGAGAGACATTTGCCTTTTTATCCTTTCACTATCAACATGGCCACCTTGATGAGTCCATGTTTGCCGTTAATTTACATGACAGAGAGGTGAACACTGAACAGGCTCACATCACTCCTGAAGCTAAGGTCTCCGTTATCTACAACAGAACATCTTGCACTGGTTAGACATGGCACAAGTCTGAAAGTGATGAACGCCCCCATAAAACAAATGACAAACTGCTCAAGGCACAATGTCTTTCACAACCCAGGCCTATAAAGAGGTAAAAATGTGGAAACTTACTAAAGTAAGCTACATTCTTTGATAGATATTAGTTGCTGATGAGGGATAAGCAATGAAAATGGAATTTACCTGAAGCAACATTACTGATAAAAATGAAATATTATGCATTATCTTACAGGACCCCTGAACAAGTGCAGTTTTCTCGACTAGAAGCTTCATTACTGGATAAAAAAACACAGCTATTGAACGGCACACTCGTTTATTGACTTACCTCTTGTAAACTCTTGAGATGCACAGGAGAGCAGAGAGTGAAGCAACAAGCTGAAGGTAAGAAAAGGATCTGTATGACTTTGTCAAGGCCTCACCAGACAAGTGAAGTGGGACTGCGGCTCTTGGTCGCCTTGACGACGGATGCTTTTTCAAGCAAATCAGCCAATGAAAGAGGCGCTGCTCGTCATTCAGAAGAGCACGTGACCCTCGAGCTGCTTTCATCTGCAGGAGACAAGAAGCGCGAGGATGAATGACGGGGTAATGAATTTTTTTTATCTTCTTTCAACTTTTATTCTTCTTTTTTTATATATATAATGGCGTTTTCTTATAACTGAAGTAGATGTCTGGAATGTGCTTGAGGTTAAACGGGTTTAGAGTGTGTGCCTTAAGGCTGTTAAATATTGCCACCTAGTGGATAATTCTGTGAGTTACTTAGTGAAACACTGTTTTTGTCACATTCATTTATTTTATTTTCAGTTTATTTTCAACTTATCCAGCATATGTTTTACGCAAAGGATGCCCTTCCAGCTGCAACCCATCACTGGAAAACATCCATACACACTCATTCACACTCATACATGGACAATTTTAGCTTACCCAATGCACCTATACCACATGTCTTTGGACTGTGGGGGAAGCCGGAGGAAACCCACATGAACACGAGGAGAACATGCAAACTTCATACAGAAATGCCAACTGATCCAGCCGAAGCTCAAGCCAGCGACTTTCTTGCTGTGAGGCGAAAGTGCTACCCATTGCAGAGAATATAGAGAGTATATTTTGACACAAATCAAATGGAGGATGAGACACACTTCCAACCTGTTCTGCCACAAATACACCAAAACAAATAATCTTTCACCAATTTGAAACATTAATGCATTCATTTTTTAATTTAAATTACTCAGAAAAACTTTACTATGTACTCGGAGAGGATGAATTGATATCTAAACTAGCTGCAAAATATGTTTACACCCTACACACCATGAGAAATGGTTAATGTTAATTCATGTGTCTTATTTAAATAATGTAGACTTTTTATTATTAATATTATTATTATAATTATCAAATGTATTATCTATTTCTTATTTACTGTAATTTTTTTATTTGATTTTAATATATTACATTTTTAAAATGCTTTGGCAATACTGTATTAAATGTCATTCCAATAAAGAAACTTGAACTCAATAAGTAAGAGTAATAATACATGGTAATATGAGATTTTGAATAATATATTATATATTCAATAATAATGAAATGTTATTAATATTTTATTTAAATATTATGTGGCTATATATATATATATATATATATATATATATATATATATATATATATATATATATATATATATATATATATATATATATATATGTATGTATGTATGTATTTTACTACTACTGCTGCTATTTACTGTTTACTATGTGTTTTTATCATATATGTTCTTTTTATGTAAACTTTATAAATGCTTTGGCAATACAATTCTAACATTTGTAACATGCCAATAAAGCAATTATTGAATTGAATTGAGAGAGTGATTTCTGATTTATAATTCTTTATTTTTTTATTTAATTATTATTACTATTTTTATTATATTATACTACTATTTACTGTGTTTACTATGTTTATATATAAATGCTTTGGCAAAACATTTGTAATTATCATGTTTGTCAATAATTGAATTTCATTTCTCATTTCATTTAATTGAGAGAAAGAGAAAGTATAAGTTACTTTAATAATCTTTTCATTTTCTTGACCACCACGTCACCATGTCCGAATGATGCCAACAAGATGTCCCTCTCACCAGAGATTTATAACGTTATGCATGTGACATTTTCAGTAAAGTTTGAAAACATAAATACACAGAGAAAGTATGTGTTCACATTATATTGAAACATTTGTTTATATTTTCCAACACAGCTAACCACGGAGTTATGGGATCAGAAAAAAATCAGAAAGCATTTTTTATATTTTAAATGAGAAAAATAAAGATGTGTTATGGATGTGACCAAAAAAGAGTTTACAGGACACAACATACTTTTGTAGAAATTTTGTTAATTAAACTGCACAACCCAAAAGAAATAATGCTAATCATAGGATAAGAGTTGACTCACTGTAGAACAAAAATTATTGATTTTACTTTTTTTCTTTTTTTTCCTTTTTTTTTGCATTTATAAGGAAAAAGCTTTGTTGGGGATGTGAAATCTCTCTGTTATGGGTGTGAAAGATGTAAATTGCCATTTGTTTGACTTTGGTAAATCAAATATAAAAGTTTGAAATCATTGACAAAAACATTTTTTTTTGTATTTTTACAGTACTGTAAAATAAAATATAAAAACGAAAGTTAACTTAAAAAAAAGGGTTTCGCCATTTTGCTGAAAACTTTCATTTTTTACATAGCAAGGTTGACATTTACATGGAATTGCTCAACAATAATAATTATTACTATTATCATTATTGTTGTTGTTGCTTTTATATCCCTAATTATAATTGATTAGTTTGTTTTCTTGTTTGTTTCAATCTAATGTATTTAAATTATTATATATTATTATTTAATTAGTAATCTAATTGTTTTTATTCAGCTTTAAAGTCCATTGTTTTAATACAGAATAAAGCTAAAATGGAAGAAAGAAAGATGTTGCTGTTATCAATATGATAACACTTATTGATTTATTTGTTTGCTTGATCTGTTTCAATCAAATGTATTTCAGTTAATACATCTAATAGTTATTTAATTATTAATACAATTTGTTTATTTATTTAGCTGTAAGGCCGATTGTTTTATAACAATAATACAGAATAAATCTAAAGAGAAAAAATAATGATGTTGTTATCAATATGATAACACTTATTGATTTATTTGTTTGCTTGTTCTCTTTCAATCAAATGTATTTTAATTATAATATATTATTATTTATATATTTATATAAATAATATTTATATAATTGTTTTTATTTAGCTTTTAGGCCCATTGTTTAATAATACAGAATAAATCTAAAGGGCAAGAAAGATGTTGCTGCTATTATTATGATAAGGCTTATTGATTTATTTGTTTGCTTGTTCTGTTTCAATCAAATGTATTTCAAATTATAAAATTTTATTATTAAAAGGATTATATAATTGTTTATTTATTTAGCTGTAAGGCCCATTTATTTATAACTATAATATTGAATAAACCTGAAGAGAAAGAAAGAAAGAAAGAAAGAAAGAAAGAAAGAAAGAAAGAAAGAAAGAAAGAAAGAAAGAAAGAAAGAAAGAAAGAAAAAAAGAAAGAAAGAAAAGTTTTTAGTGTAATAAGACAGCCCACATTTAATGCAAGAAGGCTGAGAGGGAGAAAGAGAGAGACCGTGTGCGTGCGTGAGTGTGTGTGTGTATGTGGTGTTTGTGTGTAGTATTGAGAGGGTTTGGGCGTGTGCTGTAGCTCTCAGCGCCCTCTTCTTCTTCCTCCCCCCCTACACACATACACACGCCGCTCTTGTATGTGTCTAGTCGACGCTCACCGGCAGTTCAATGTTTATGTTGATGTGCTCTGCTTGAGTGGAGAAGCTGTGCTGTCTGTCTAATGAGGAAAACGGCGGCGAGCGGCGGAGCTTTGAGAGGAGCAGCGGGAAGGATGTCGACATATTATTGACTGACTTATCGGCGTCGAGGAGAGCGAGCAGAGCCCTGCGTTTTGTAAGTAACGTTAGTGCAGCCGCTGCTTTCACTGCTGTCTGTGTGTCGTGCAGGAATAACAGCAACAAAATGTTCCCCCGAGCGTCTGCAAGGAACATTTTGTTGGCTTCGAGACGTAAATCAGTTGACCAGCATCATCGCGAAACTGACGAGCCGCTGCTACTACTCAAAACGAAACAAATGCGTCAAATCAGTGCTCGCGCCTCAATTCCATTCATCTCTAGTTTGTAACATACTAGCGGACTGTGTAACTAGTGTTGCTTAATCTGCACATACAGCTCAATGCAGGAGGAATGATGGGTTGATTGATATCAACAGAGCCAGAAACGTTGCACTAAATAGCCTATGACTTTAATTTTTCTAAACTACAGTCGTTTTTGTTTAAGAGGGATTATGAAACTTTAATCATCAGATTTGGTTGCTGTTAAATCTCTTGTAATGTTAGCAAAAATCCACGCATCTAAATGACCGCGTTGTTTACATTGGCCATCGTCTGAAGAAAAAAATCAATAAAGGTGATGTCATTGTGTTCGAGGAATAATAGCAAAACCAAATGGGTTTTATTCCTGCATCATACACACACAAACAAATAGAAAAATGATTCAATATAACAAACATAAACATAATATGAGACATCTTTGAAAATTACTTGAGTTTCTATTTTGCTTGCTGAATTTATTAGCTATGGGTGTAAGTAAAATGTTAATAGAGTTACTTGTTTTATTCTGTAAAGTATAAATATGATATTTATTATATAATGTTTCTTATTTCAATTATAATAATGTCACTTTGTAGCGATGATGTTTAGAAAATGCAAGACAATCAAAAAAAATATATATATTTTTTAAATTAATTGAAAAGTGAAGGTCAATCTTGTATACAGTATATTGATTAGTTCACTTTTCTGAAGTTGGTAAAACATTGGCATTGAGTAGGGATGCTACGATCCATCAGCCAGAGATGGGTATCGGCCGATAATCACATTTTATGACTCGATCGGTACTCATCAATCTGGCTGATCTCATGAACCGTTCGCAGGTTTTTGTTTACAAGTTTGTAGAGGAAGACACACGCGTTTAGCCCACTCCTGCACCACCCAAACCTGCTCCAAGCTGGGATTAAACCGCCGACTCTCCACATGGGAGTCGGTTGCTCTAACAAGGAGGCTAAAGACCATGGCCTCTTGCCAAATACTATAAAATACACAAAATGTGTCTCTTTTGAATGGGGAAAAGTGTAATGGTCGACGTGGCGAATGAAACCCTGCCTTCTAGTACAAGAGCCAATCACCCATCGCTATGGACTGACGAATCTCCGGGGAGGGACTCTAACCATCCGTGAGTTTCTGCAGATTTTGTGAGATTCAAACATTTAGAAATGAAACTAAAGAGACAGTTGTTTAATTTTATTGGTGATACCTAATATGAAATTCAGTGGTAAGCTTGGCAAGCAATTTTGGAGAATATGATGTTCCCCATTCAAACAGAATGGCCTAGCATACTGCCCGAGAGGCATTTCAAAGATGGCGGCCGAGTAAAAGGAATTGCCTCAAAGGAACTTTGCTCTAGCGTCTGTCACTAGAGCACCTTTAGAGGTCAGAAGAGTGAGGTTTACCTAGCACTTCACTGGCTGGTCTCCGCTACACACAGCCCCCTAAACCTCAATCCCATCTGGGTCACGACACCAATGTAACCCAGTCCTACACCACCCAAACCCACTCGTTGCTGGAATCGAACTGGCGACTTTCCGCATGGGAGTTGTTTGCTCTAACAAGGAGGCTAAAGACCATGGCCTCTAATGTCTGTCGCTAGAGCACCTTTACCGTACGTTCACACCGAAAGCGGCGAGAGCGTCAAAGTAGCTGGAAGTCATTCATTTTTAATGAGAGCCGGCGGCGAGGAGCAGCGCGGCGCGTCTTCGCCGGCGTAGGCGTCGAGGAGAGTTGAAATGAAGTCAACTTTATGGTAATGAGCTATGACGCGGTTCGGCGGCAAGCAATCAGAATGAAGACGTCCATCGCTTGATAGCAGTTCAGAGAACACAGACCTGTGAACTTTGGTTCCGACCACAGTTGTTCCCAAGGGTTTGATGTTTGCGGTCGCCGGATTTCCAATCATTTACAATTTTTTCCTACAGGAACATACATTAAATAAGTTACTGGCGAGTTACTGATGTTCATTAATGTTATATAAATTTATCTTAAAAAAGCGGGAATCTCACGCGATGTGACAGTACAAAACAGTACTGCTGCTTCAGGATATTTCAGATATATAGACACATATTGGATAAATAGAGCAAAGCCACACCACACGCAACTTGATCTTCCATTGTTAAATTAATTTGATAAGAAGTGCGCAACATTTTCACGCTAGAAACATGTTTTATGCAGGAATGTAACTGATATGCTGCAACGGCTTCTTTAAATATGAGATCAATGTAGCGAGTTTTGACGCTCTCGCCGCAGGAGCTGAAAGCAGACAGCGTTGTCACCAGGGCGGCCAGAGCGACCTTGGACGCTCTCGCCGCTTTCGGTGTGAACGTACGGTTAGAGGCCAGAGGAGTGAGGTTTACCTGCATAGCCGCACTTCACTAGCTGGCCTCTGCTACACATGTTCACCTGTATATTACACATCAGCAGTGCTAAAACACGTGGGGAGGTAACCGTGCATCCACACAGGGCTTTAGCATCTATGCTTGACAGAGGGCCTGTCTAAAGTTGGGGCTGATGCGATCATCATAGCAGCGTCAGCCAATGAAGTAAGTCCACAATTGGCTACTGTCTGAGCTGGGGTATATGCATAAAGCGATATGATTGGCTGATGCTTCCGTTGGCGCTTAAAAATGTAGAAATTCACAACTTCTGCAGCGAGCAACGTCATTGAAGCAGCTTGATGGACGCACAATTCAGTTCAGCAACGCTTGTCGAGTGAATGGGAAGTGTTAACGCTTATGCCTCGTGTGTATAGCATCAGTGAATAGTATTGTGTCTTTAAAAATGTTTATTTTTTTGACAACACCACTGATGTTTTATGTTAAGAATCGTTAAGAAATCAGTGTTTCGAGTAGGGATGCTCCAATCAGGATTTTTGCAGCCGGCACAGAGTACCAATTCCTTGTGATGGTGATCGGCCGATACAGAGTACCGATTCTGATGCTTCAAGCTTTGTAATGCATAAAGCACATATTTACAAGTATGCTACTTAATTGTAGATTTCTCCTTACCTATGAGAATAAATTAAGAATGTTGCATATAATCCCCTAAACACATCTCGTATAACCATTGAATTGTGATCATGTCATGGTCAGAAGCAGCTTTACAGAAAATAATATTAAACAGATACGAATTGGTATGAAAAAATACTGATAATGCAATTTGGAAACATTGCAAATGATGGAAGAACAGTTCAACAAGTCTCAATCAAGAAAAGGTTTGAAACGCATATTATAAAAGGAACTAGCCCTATAAATTACAAATAAATCTGTATATTTTTTACCTGCTGTATCGGGAGCCTGAACGCTGATGCAGCATTTACCTCCTCACGTGTTTTAGCGCTGCTGATGTTTAATATATGAGTGACCATGTTTGTCTTCATCTGCAAACTTGTAAACAAACACTTGTTATCGAGTCATAAAATGTGAATAACGGTCGATACCAATCTCTGACCGATCGATTGGAGCATCCCTAGTTTTGAGGAATAACCCTGATTTTCAGTCACAACAAATTTATTTGACTTAATTGGCATTTTCTGGGGAAAATGCTGTAAAAGACCATATTTCCATATGAAATTTGGAATAAATGTTTTAAACAAATATTAACATTTTATTCAAACACACATAATTTAACTAAGAAGTTCAGCAAGACTATATATTTTGACCCTTATCAGTTTTTATAAAATGCAGCTCGACCAGCTTTGATGGCAGTGTTAAAGTTGTACAGTGTACCTTTGTCAGTGGAAAAGTGATTTTTACAGGTACATGACTACATGACAGGTGGAGGAGCTAAAAATAGATTTTCAAATGGAATATTTGATGTAGCATTCAGAGAGCATGGCTGAACCGGAGGCCCATAACACCAAAAATGCTCGCTGATATCACTATAATTGAGAGCAGCTGTTTAATAAACTTTTGTATACTCTCATTTAATATTATAGGTATTTTATCTACCTTCAGATATTATATAAATGTCATAAAAACAGAGGTGCAGATAAGTAGTATTAAATAAAAGAATATAATTTTAATAAGTTTGATGGACAGTTGTTACTGTATATGTAGCTTCTTTCTTCTTTTCTTTCATATCTGTAGTTCTCCTATGAAACAATACGTTATTAAAAAGAATAGAGTGTGTGTTAGAATTTTAAATGAAGCCTGGAGGGAAATAAAATCACATAGGCTTACTAAAAATAGATTTTTACTGTACACATTTTAGCCAAAAATACAAATAGATCACTGTGTAGGAAAGTCTTGTAGAAAGTTTCCCTCTCAGCCCAAAATAGCTTTTCATTTAGTCTATCATTACGTCACTACACTAGGGTATTTACGTCTGTCTTTTATATGCTGTCGGCAAGATGAGCACTTCACTCCAGGAAGTGCTGGTATATTTTAAATTGATGTTTACTGACATCCACCTTTACCATTTAAGCGTATGTGCTCTCTTTCAGTTGTACTTCCTCATCAGCTTATTTTCATTTGTTCAACAAACCGTTTCAAGCCTGTAATGATTAATTGAGAATTTTCCCATTTCTTTATTTTTCCTCAAATATCCTTGTTCCTATTGCTCTCCATCAGCTTGTGACAGAGCAGCGGTGAGAATGACGGAGTATAAGTTGGTGGTTGTAGGTGCAGGTGGTGTGGGCAAGAGTGCTCTGACCATTCAGCTCATCCAGAACCACTTCGTTGATGAGTATGACCCAACCATTGAGGTAAGCCAAAAGCCAAGGTGTTGTATGTTAAAATTCACTTTTGTCTTATATTTAGTAGCAGAAATGTACATTTACACAGTTTTAAAAATACAGGTTTCAAAACATAGAGAAGAACTATTTTGCTTAGTCTTGCTCAAAATCTCCTCCTTAGCATGACAAAGATTTTAACAATCTAAAGAAATCACTTTTCTTCAGCTTAGTCCCTGATTTCTCTGGGGTCAACACAGTGGAATGCACTGCCAATTATCATTCATTCATTAATTCATTCATTCATCTTCGACTTAGTCCCTTATTTATTAGGGGATCGCCCCAGCGTAATCAACCGCCAACTATTCCGGTATATGTTTTACGCAGTGGATGCCCTTCCAGCTGCAACCCACTACTGGGAAACACCTATACACTCTCACATTAACACACACACTCCTACACTACAGCAAATTTAGTTTATACAATTCACTTATAGTGTATTTCTTTGGAAAATGGGGGAAACATGAGCAACCGGAGGAAACCCAATCAAACCCAGGGAGAACATGTAAACTCCACGCAAAAACGCCAACTTTCCCAACCGGGACTTAAATCAGTGTCTTTCCTGCTGTGAGGCGACAGTGCTAACTACTGAACCACCGTGCTGCCCACCATCCACCACCAATTAATGTAAAGAATTGCTATGCTAGAAATATTCTCATCAATGGAAAAAGTGTTGGAGCATTAATGCCAGTAAAGTGCTGTGTATGTTGACAGATAAATAGCTGAGTTTCCGTGGGTCATGGAATTTGTGAAATATCATGGGATTTTAAAAGGTCAATATATATATATATATATATATATATATATATATATATATATATATATATATATATATATATATATATATATATTATCCAGGTCATGGAATCTCAGGAATTTATTGTTATTAATTTTAATTGTAAATTACCAATAACTAAATTTCATTTATATATATTTTTCAAATGTAGCCTATAATAGATGAAATAAATGGTCACTGACCAAATATATATATATATATATATATATATATATATATATATATATATATATATATATATATATATATATACCTAGCTACTTATTGCAATTAACCATTTATTACATTTCAGCCATATATTTAAAGTCTTAGGTTGTTGTAAAATAATCATTATTTAATGTTTGAATCAGTGTAGTATTAATAATAGGTAGTTATATACTTGGTTATATAGGTATATTTGTACTTGAGTTCAGATGCAAAAACCTCTAAATGGCATCTGAAATGTTCTCCCAAAATGACAATTTATGTCAGGCTCCTATATTTATGTTCAGTTATTTCACTTTAACGGTAATGTAAAAAACTTATACGTCATTATAAAAGTAAATTACTGAGCCTACACATGGCCTTTTATATATATATATACACACACAGAGTTGAAGTCAGAATTATTAGGCCCCCTTTGAATTTTTCTTTTGTAAATATATTTCCCAAATGATGTTGAACAGAGCAAAGAAATTTTCACAGTATGTCTGATAATATTTTTTATCCTGGAGAAATTTGTTTGTTTTATTTCAGCTAGAATAAAAGCAGTTTTTATTTATTTTTTAAAAACATTTTAAGGTCAAAGTTATAAGCCCCTTTTAGCTATATTTGTTTTCCATAGTCTACAGAACAAACCATTGCTATACAATAACTTGCCTAACCTGCCTAGTTAAACTAATTAACCTAATTAAGCCTTTAAATGTTACTTTAAGCTGAATAATAGTGTCTTGAAAAGTATCTAGTCAAATATTATTTACTGTCATCATGGCAAAGATAAAATAAATCAGTTATTTGAGATGAGTTATTAAAACTATTATGTTTAGAAACGTGTTTATAAAAATCTTCTCTCCATTAAACAGAAATTGGAGAAAAATATAAAGAGGTGCTAATAATATTGACTTCAGCTATATTTATATTCAGTCATTCATTTTCCTTCGGCTTAGTCCTTTTTTTTATCAGGGGCTGCCACAGCTGAATCAACTGCCAGTTATTAGAGAATATGTTTTACGCAGTGGATGCATTTCCATCACACTCTGGCATTCACACACCAATTGTGGGGTAAACCGGAGCACCCGGAGGAAACCCACACAAACACGGGGAGAACATGCAAATTCCACACAGAAATGCCAACTGGCCCAGCCAGGACTTGAACCAGCGACCTTCTTGTTGTGAGGTGACAGTGCTAATGACTGGATCCACCGTACCGCCCATATTAATATTAAATGTTCCCAACATAACAAAATATATTGCATTTATTTTCCGTAAGCAGAAATAAAATATATTTAACTGCATATTAATGCACTGTTGTTCCTTAGGATTCATATAGGAAACAAGTGGTGATCGATGGAGAGACGTGTTTGTTGGATATCCTGGATACTGCAGGTCAAGAAGAGTACAGTGCAATGAGAGACCAGTACATGAGGACTGGAGAGGGCTTTCTCTGTGTTTTTGCCATCAACAATACCAAATCTTTTGAGGACATCCATCAATACAGGTTAAAGCAAAGAAACCATCTGAATGCATATTGATTGTTATTTTATTTGAGCAATCATCATAAATATTGATTTGTTTTGTATTGATTGCATTGCTTTTAAAAGGGAACAAATTAAGAGGGTTAAAGACTCAGATGATGTGCCTATGGTGCTTGTGGGTAATAAATGTGATCTACCAGCGCGCACTGTGGATACAAGACAAGCCCAGGAACTGGCCCGTAGTTATGGGATACCTTACATTGAGACCTCAGCCAAGACACGACAGGTCAGAGACAGTTTGACTAAATATATGCTCTTGTATAAACACAGATTTTGACAAAATAATCACGCAACCTTAATGTCATACAGTATATGCCTTGTGCTTTTAAGTCATGTTTAGAATGTAAGAATGCAAAATCTGAAGTTCTCTTTTAGGTTTGTCATTGAAGGGTTCTGTGGGGAACAAAAAATGCTGCTTTTCTTGCATTCTTGCAATGTGGCTCAATATAAACTCTTTCAAACAGCCGTAATGTTAGAGGAAATGCCCTGATTTGTGTGTTTGTGTGTGTGTATTTCTAATTAGGGAGTGGAAGATGCCTTTTACACACTTGTTCGTGAAATCAGGCAGCATAAGTTGAGGAAACTGAACCCACCTGATGACAATGGCCAAGACTGTATGAACTGCCGCTGTGTCGTGTCATGATCTGGTAAACATGTTAACTTTGTATGCTGGTGCACATACAGTATAAATATTTTTATTTTGTTTGTTTATTATATGTATGTATGTATTTATTTATTTTATTTATGTGTATATATATATATATATATATATATATATATATATATACATATATATATATACATATATATATATATATATATATATACATATATATATATATATATATATACACATACACACACACACACACACACACACACACACACACACACACACACATATATATACATATATATACATACAAATACATGTATATAAATGTTTTTTAAATAAATATACATTTTTTATTTTATAAAATTTGTGAAAAAATATATTAAATATATGCTATTTTTATAATATATATCATAAATAAAAATAGCATATAATATTATAATTTGTTATATCTGAGTACTTTGGTTGCTTTTAGATTGATTAACTCATTTATCACATTAGTTTAAACAAGATCTTATAGCATATTAATTTAAAAAAAATCAAAGAGAAAGAAAATTAATGTAAGTAATAATTATCATTTTTGTTGTTGATTTTAACAACATCTAGTCAGATTCAGTTTTACAAACAGGCAGTAATGAAGGAACTACAGAAAGTTAATATACCGACCAAAAGAAACTAAATCTTAGATAATGTAAATAAATTTACATTTCAAAATAAACATATTTACTAGTTGTCAGTCTGTGTTTGTAATTCCACATAACATAAATATTTGCCTACACATAGAAAATTGTATAATGAGGTAAATAAATAATGAGAATTATGGAGAAGCAATGAAATATATATTTTTTTTAATCAAGTTTTAATATGAATTGACTGTAGCTTGAATATTAATATTGTAAAAGTCAATATAATTATAAGAATTCAGATTATACAGTATCAGTTGAGCAACATGGTAGCTCAGTCGCCTCACAGCAAGAAGGTCGCTGGTTTAAATCCCGGCTGGGTCAGTAGGCATTTCTGTGTGGAGTTTGCTTGTTCTCCCCGTGTTGGCGTGGGTGTTTTCCTGGTGCTGCGTTTTCCCCCACAGTCCAAGACATGTGCTATAGGTGAACTGAATAAACTGGAAGAGCATCCGCTGTGTAAAACATATGCAGGATAAGTTGGCGGTTCTTTCCACTGTTGCGACCCCTGATGAATAGCGGGACTAAGCTGACAAGAAAATGAATTAATAAACATTGTCAGTTTTTACATGAAATATAATTATATAGATATGTTTTATAAATATGAATCAAACAAAAACAAAAAAGGCTTTTCAAGCCTTTTATTCTCTAAACATATGAATTATTGTTTTATTTTTCCTACATTCATACTGTAACAATATATCAAAAAATATTACCAGGCATATCTAGAATAAGAATTAATGAAAAAAAAAAAAAAGATTTGTAAGAAAAAACTAAATTATTGCCTTTTTAATTATGTGTACAATTATCCTTTAAACCAGTAGGTTTATCTTATTTCTTCAGTAAGACGTTTATTAAGTCTTCATTACGTTAATTCATTTAGTCACTTTACTTTGGCCTAGTACCTGATTTATCCGAAGTCACTACATCAGAATGAACCGCCAACAGGTTGTATTAATTTAAAACTAAATAAAATTAAGCATGCTCATTCATGCATGTTCCTTCATTCATTTTCTTTTCGGCTTAGTCTCTTTATGAACCACCAACTTATCCAGCACAAGTTTACACAGTGGATGCCCTTCCAGCTGCAACCCAACACTGGAAAACTCCCATACACTCTTTTATACACTTACATTCATTCAATTATTCGTTTTCTTTTTGGCTTAGTCCTTTTATTCATCAGGGGTCGCCACAGCGGAATGAACCGGCAACTTATTCTGCAACCCATTACTGGGAAACATCCATACACACTCATTTACACACATACACTATGACCAATTTTGCTTATTCAATTCACCTATAGCGCATGTCTTTGGATTATGGGGGAAACCGGAGCACCCAGAGGAAACCCACACGAACACAGGGAGAACATGCAAATTCCACACAGTATTGCCAGCTGACCTAGCCCGGGGCTCGAACCAGTGACCTTCTTACTGTGAGGCGATCGTGCTACCCACTGAGCCACCGTGACGTCCATTCATGCATATGTTAAAATGTAAAAAGTACAGCTCAGAATACCTGCTATACTTTAAAATATGTCATATGCCGAATGATATTTCCTTTTCACCTTATTTAAAACATTAAAGTAGATACTTATCTTACATTTGATATGCTTTCCATCGATATGAAATCATTCGATTTGATGCAGCCACCAACATGGACGGTTTCGTCTTTGACCCACATATCTCTGTGATTCTCATTGACTCAAGCATGGAAGGATTTATGAATAATTAATCTATTGTGTTCTGCTACTCATGTGTACTCAATTCTGCCCTTCTCTCTGCAGTGAATGCGCATGACGTGGCTTTAAAAGCGCTGCAGCCCTACAGACCACAAACACTGCAACACCTACACACAGACGCTGGACGTTTACAGCAGACTGTGTAAAAGGGAAATCTTTATTCTGTGGCAGCCCTGCAGTCTTTCTATGGGATCTCCCCATCTCTTCTCCTTACGCCGGAGATGATAAAAGCTGTACCTCATTTTAACGGTCTCAACACTGGAGTTGCTTCGACTGGATGAAAGCTGTCACACTTAAATATATCTACATTAAACAAACTATCTACTCGTAACTGGAAGTAATAGCTCAGAACATAACCTCTCATATTGCTTTTGTCAGATGTGGATGTTAGAAAATGCAAGATGGAGAGGAGAACTACTGCGTAACTTAGATTAGCATACGGCTGGATGTGAGAAAGATTTGTATTGTCATTTGCTTAGAGGAAGTCCAACCTAATAAAATGTACATAATGAACGGCGGTCTTCTGCGAACAGGACTTTTAGTGTGTTTATCAGAGGTTATGGCGCAATATGACGCGATTAAATGGTGCGTCTCTGATAAATCTCCATTTTGCACATTGTGTGATATTTTAAAGCGGAGGGCACGCGTTGTTAGCCTTTGGTTTTAGACGGATCTCCAGGTCTTCAAAATTGAATATCAAGATCTGATGGAGTTCATTTATGTTAGACAAATGTATCACAAGTAACTGGACTGGCTAAAGAAGGCCTATTGTTGACCGTTTTTTTTGAAAAAGTAATCATAATACATGCGCTAGCATACTATATATATATAAAAAAAGAAGATACGCTTGGATTGAAAAGCCTTTTTGATATTCTTGCTCACTACAGTTGTTCCCTTGTTCAGAAACAGTCATTTCGAGTATCATATTGTCTAATCTTTCACTTATGCCATATTTATTCCATATTTATGGGTGAAGATGTCGTTTAAATGTGTAATTTAAAGGGAAAGAATATGTATCTTCTATCAGACTTCATATTCCTTGCATTAAATCCTCATTTTAGGCTTTCCCTTGAGGGAATCTTCTTTTATATTTGCTTTATTCATTAACATTAACTTTGTAATGACAGAGAGAACCAGGAAGTCTGGATTTCCTTTTTTTTTTACATTGTTTAAAATTAGCTAGTCTCGTTGCAAGGTACTTATTTCAAATCATAGTCTTTCTTATTAACATTTGTGAATCTGATTTTATGGCTAGCAGTGAGTGCTTACTCATTCAGACTGAAATTTGATCATTTTTCTCGATAATGATTGCTGACTGTTTTATTCCCATACAGTCTATTGATTGTTCTGAAGGACATACATGGGTGGATGTGATTCTGCCTTTAAATTGCGTGTCAGTAGCTATGGATATGACCTTCAAGGGTTTCTGTAAGCATCCAGAATGTGTTGATGGACTGCCGCAGAGTAATGTGGCTTTATCAGGTGGTTTGATTGCTGCCGCTTAGGCTACTCAACATAGTTTTACATGAACGTTGGGTAATGGCTGTTACTCACAACACTAACTAGCATGTAAAACACAGTCTAAAAATGCATAGAACTCCAATCTATCCTCTATTCGTTTGATTTATTTGTTAATTTATTACAGGCAAACTGCTGCTATTAAATCTTTTTTATGACTAAAAACAGAGGGACGACAACACAGTATTATTATGGTGTAATTAAGTTCAAATAACCCAAAAGGCTGTGTTGGTTCTGATATTAAGTAAGCATATTAGCATAAAAAACCTAAAAACATGATTTTTTTCAAAAGACCATGTGTCTGTGGTGTTCAGAAAACACTGAATTTCATTTTGACTACAGTAACGATTATTGTGTGAGAAGTATCAAATAAAAAAAAAAAGCTTGTTTTGATTTCATGGGCATCATTTTTTACACGTTTAAACATTACATGTTGTTTGGATGCTATGTACTTTTGGTATTAATTCATAAAGGTAGAAACTATTATTGTGGCACATTATTTTTTATTTATTTATTTATTGTTTGAACTAACAATATCATAAAGTCCAAAGGATCACAGACAGATCTTAAAAAGATACTATTGGACAGAAAGGGGAAAATGTAATAATTATAGTGTTAATATTAATAATAAAAATAAAAAAAAACTAAAATTACTAAGTTAAACAAATGAATGAAACTGCAACAAATAGCCATAAGGAAAGCACCTAAAATCAAGGATCTTCTTTAAATGCATCTTTTAAAACATTTCAGGAATCTTATTATTAATTTTATTAATCTTTTTATTAATTTTTTTAATAAGATGAAATGATGGGTAATTATTTGCAAATTCTTGTTTGTGAATGAAAAAAAATGCTTTCTGCTTGTTTGCAGAAAGAACAGGAGCTGTCGATGTTCAAAAATTTAGAAAAATATCACAATTTAATGGGTAAATTTTATGTAACATTGTAAAATGTTTTTTTTTTTTTTTTTGAGCCTTCTTGGAAATGCAATTTTTCCCAGGTAAAAGCCAGCTTCTCTTCCATTCTATATCCTTAACCAAGAACCTCCAGCAAAACTTTCCTCTAGAAGAAATTTTCCTTTTAAATATAAATATTTGAGGCAAAATTGATTGTTACATTTCTTATCTAACATACTTACAACTTCTAACAGCAAAGGAGAACGAATATTAATATCACCGAGCTCCTTGGGTTAAATCTACAGTGACAGCAGGTGATATTGCTTTAACCACACTAATAAATTATTTAGGAGGAGTTGGGAAACTGCTATGTTAAGTTGTTCATACGAAAGAATTTGCAGTAGCATCAAACAAGCAAAGAATCATTTATTCATTTAAATTTCGCCTTAGTCCCTTTATAATTAGTTGTCGCCACAGTGGAATGAACCGTCAACTTATCCAGTTTTACGCAGCGGATGCCCTTCCAGCCGCAGCCCATCACTGGGAACAAGCAAAGAATATAATTAATATTATTTTGAAACCCCCATTGGAAAATAATGATTTGTTTCTAAATGTAATATCTCGGTTATTCCATAAGAAAAATCGGTAGGAAGAAAAATTGTGTATGTAACCAAGCTTCCAAGCAAGCAGACATTGCTGTTGAAGTTTAGACAAAGATTTTTTTTCTTTTGCTTAGAGCAGTAAGTTACTCCATCGACTTCCAGTCAAGGAGCAGCAGACTGCGTCATCAGTCAGCTGAGCGGAAGTGATAATACACATCCCTGATTTCCTGGATAGTTGCGATGATTTGTTTTGTTTTTTTGTAAGTGTATGTCTATAACGTCTACTTTATAATTTAACCGGTAAATACTGTATATCACTTTTGATCATAATCATTGCAAACATGTCGGCAATCAACGAAAGCTCTCTACGTAAAGTATTTTCAAAGGTAAGTTAACGCTTGTGTATAGATAATGCGACCTAAGTATCAATTATGAAATGAATTATGTGTTTCTTTGTACACAGTACTATAAATACAGGGATCTGACCGCACGAGACATTACAAACGTGACGAACATCTACAAAGACCTTAAACCTATGATGGACAACTACGGTAAAACTTTAAATCTGCCTTCAAATTCCAGCATCATTATCAAATGTCAGGGTTTTTAAAGTAACTTTGAAGTGAAAATGTATTATCTTTAAAGATAACGTGGACAACAACAATTTAGCTATTTCTGTTTTAAATAGTAACGTTAAGTTTGTACTTTTGTTTTTATTTTCAATAATGTAACGTTACATAGGCTACAAGAAATGACATAAAATCAAAATGTATGGACACTTTGTGGTTTTCACAGATCTCCGTAGTCATTTTAAAAGTCAACTTCATTTCGTTTTTTTTTTTTTTTTTTCTATTATTATTATTAATTTTTTTTAGAAAATGATGACAATGTATGTTTGTGTGTGTGTGTGTGTGTATGTGTGTGTATCTTACAGTTCGTTAGTTACCTTATTTATTTATTTATTTTTGGTGGGTTGCCTTATTATTGCTTAATATATTGCTACATGTGCTTATTATAGCAAAGCTGCAAGTTTTTTTTTCATTTGACTATATCTAGACAAGAACCATCAAATAAGTAGTGTAAACGGTGCACATGGGAAAAAATGTGTCTGGTTTGTCAGTTTATTTTGTACACATTACTTAATATAAGGTTACCATGAGCTCAATTATATTTTATACATTAAATATTTTGCACTAGGGCTGGGCAATTAATCAAAAAGTAAATGACATTCAGAAACTATAATTGAAATTTTCCTGGTCAGTTCTTTAAATTAGGTCCTAAATCATCTTACACAGGTCTTAATTTTCATATGACCAATTAAAGCTACCCAGTCACCAATAATCTATCTCAAAACTTATGTTAGGCATGTTTGCAGCAAATTTTGCCAATTCAAATCTGTAAGCAGGGAAAGAAAACTAAAGCAACACATCCCTTTACATGAGATTTCATTAATACAAAAAATATTTACTGGGCCATTAGAAAAAAAAAACCTCTGTGTTTAGCCCTGTATAAGTTTAAAATTTAATTCATAATGGTCTTAAAAAGGTATAAATTTGACTTAAAGAAACCTGCAGAAACATTGGGTCTGGCGCAGCCTTTGAGTGGTCGCGTATTCGCGCACCTCTCAAAAAATGTAACTACACACTGCACATTTGCACTACACTGACAATGATTGGAAGCTGCGCCAGAGATGCCTTGAGGTGGCATATTTTCCATTACATTAAAATTATCCATTCATTTTCTTTTCGGCTAAGTCCCATTTTGTTTACCCGGTTTGAACCGCCAACTTATCCAGCATGTTTTCACGCAGCGGATGCCCTTCCAGCCGCAACCCATCTCTGGGAAATTTCCACACACACATTCACACACACACACTCATACACTATGGACAATTTAGCCTATCCAATTCACCAGTACCACATGTGTTTGGATGTGTGGGGGAAACCGTAGCACCCGGAGGAAACTCCCACAAATGCAGGGAGAACATGCAAACTCACACAGAAGCGCCAACTGACCCAGCCAAGGCGACCTTCTTGCTGTGAGGCGAAAGCACTACCTACTGCACCACTGCATCGCCATTAAAATTATTATTTTTAATACTTGTTTACAGAAGACTCAAGAAATGCACTATTTGAAATATTATTTACAGAATATACAAGAGTAATTTTATTACTTTTGAAAACAATGAAAATAATTAATTTTATTTTCAAAACCTATTTGTTTTCACTTTTTTATAATAAAAAAGTGGCTGCTTGTTTTAGGCAGTGTGTGTTTTTATTTCAGTTGTTTAACGTTGATGTTCAGTAAATAATCACAGATAGTAGATGGTGTGTGTTCACTTTAATTATTTTAAAATCAAGTAATGCACCCTTCATTTAAAAATCTCTCACTTTTAATAAGAGCATATTTACTATAAAAAGCCTGCCAGTAAACTACGAAGGCAATAAAATAAATAAATACATAAATAAAACTATCGTTCATTAATTGTAATTCAGTTAAAAGGTTCAATCAATCGAGATTTTGATTTTCGTTCAAATCGCTCAGCCCTACTTTGCACTTTAAAGTACACTTTTAAATTTCTATTGAGAAATCTGATAATCTAAGCAGTTAAAATGTTCATTTAAATTATATGTTAAATCAAAGTTCATTCCAAGTTCTTTAATGGGATGAATCATGAATACTATTAGTGATAGTTTTGATATAGTGTGTGTCAAGGGCACTGGAGGTTTGTTACTTTTCATATCTGCAACAGTATTGAACTGTCAGTTCCTGCACACACTCTCAATTGGCCAAGACTGTAAGTTGGGGGTTTGGGGCTGTTGCATAAGAATAACTGAAAAGCTAGATGTTCAAAGAAACCGAAAGAAAAAGGGTAAATGAAAACCCACCACCCTTCAGAAGCAGATGAAGCAGTATTTCCCAGAGAAAATTATATATTAAAGAAAAAAACTTCAAGAGAAAAAATATATATTGCACTGCTTTGAAATGTTAATAACAGAACACCTTCTTATTGCTGGTTGGAGATCTTGGAAAGTGCAGCCATACAAGATGCGAAATTTCAGTGTCTTGTTGTGTGTGTGTGTAAATGGCTTGTATTGTATGATGTATTGTAAACAGATCTTACAATTGTACAAATTGTACTAATACAGTTTACAGATTTCTTCTTACATTCTTATTTTATTTTGAGAGAGTGATATTTATTTTGAGAGTGGTATTTGATAAAGTTTTTCCTTTTTTGTATTTTTTTCTGGTTTATATTGTTTTTACTGGTCCTGTAAATATGTTTCCTCTTCAGTCATTTAGTTTTACTTGTTTCAGTGTTCAATGATGGCTCCACCAAAGAGCTGCTGAGTCTGACGGGAACTGTTCCAGTAAACTATAGAGGTATGGAGAGCACTGATTGCATGTCAAGTTTGGCTAAGCAATCTCACATAAAGGGATAGTTCGCACACAAAGAATGAAAGCATATCATTTGCTCAACCTCAAGTGTAGGTTCTTTCTTATGTTTAATAACTAATTTCTTTTATCTTAGCCATGATGACAGTAAATATTACTTGACTAGATCTTTTTGAAAACTCTTATATACAGCTTAAAGTGACAATTGAAGGCTTAACTAGGTTAATTAGGTTAACTAGTCAGGTTAGGGTAATTAGTCCACAGAATAAACCATAGTTATACAATAACTTGCCTATTTTAAAAAAAATATGTATAGCTTAAAGAAGCTAATAATTTTGACCTTAAAATGGGTTTCAAAAAATGTAAAACTGCTTTTATTCTAGCCGAAATAAAATGAATAAGACTTTCTCCAGAAGGAAAAAAATATTATCCGACATGCTGTGAAAATTTCATTGCTCTGTTAAACGTCATTTAGTTAATATTTTAAAAAGATACAAAAAATAGAGGGGGGCTAATTATTTTGAATTTTTTTTTCATTTATTTTGAAAATGTTGACATCATTTTAAATTTTAGTTTTTGGATTAATAATCTCTAATTTTCCACCATTTTCCGAGTTTAATGCTTGTTTGATCTATAGGAAACATATACAACATTCCAGTGTGCCTGTGGCTTCTTGACACGTATCCATACAACCCTCCCATCTGCTTTGTCAAACCCACAAGTGCCATGATGATAAAACCAGGAAAACATGTTGATGCTAACGGAAAGGTTTACCTCCCATACCTGCACGAGTGGAAGCCTGTGAGTGTCTTTTTTTTTTATAATTTCTCTGTCCCTCATATAGTTTTTAATGGGGAAAAGTGTAAAGATCAATATGGCGAATCAAGTAGCCATATCACATAACATTTTTTCTGATTTGTTATATTTTCATGTTTGTATTATTTGGGTTTTTACCAAAATCTGGTTCAGTTCCATGTCAACAGCTCCTCTAGAATAATTTTCCCAGAAAAGAAAGATTTTTGATTATCTATAAATAAGGCACCCTTATCTGATTGTCTGCTTATTTCACAATATTTTATTATCGTTATCCATTATAGCAATATTATTTTAAATAATGGGGAAAAGGGTAAATATCAAGATGGTGAAAGAAGGACCACCCTCTAGTACAGCAGCCAATCATCAATTGCTATAGACTGAGGATTCTCTGGGGGAAAAGCTTGGACCAGATGTGTGCTTTTACAACAGTTTTTGTGGTCAACAAACACACTTGAATCTCAGCAAATTCTTGCTTCACAGACATAAGAAATATATCCTCATAAAGCGTTTGTACTTTTGAATGAACCAACTGTACTTAAAAACAAAAGTTTTTTGGTTTTGCAGGGCTCGAAATTAACTTTTTTACTTGGTAGCACCGGTGCTCCCAACTTCAAATATTTAGGAGCACCAAAAAATTTTAGGAGCACCAGAAAAAATTTAGGAGCACCCACCAAAAATGAATGAGCACAGCTGCAAATTGTTTTTTAAGGGATTTATTGTACTTTAAAACAACATTAATAGGACTGACAAAAACCAGAAACAACTATCTAACTAATGCTGCAAAGACATGGATATTTGTGTGCAATAATTCCAAAATGAATGTATAATAATTAGGCCATAGAATATTAATGATGATAAAAAATGACAATAGTAACAATGAATTCCGTTTCTCATTATGATACTGCCTTGAATGTGCATGAATTATCTGCTATAAAAAGTCTGTTACTTTATGAAAAATAATTGTATAGTTTGCATCAAACAAAAATGAAGCATTGCAGTAAGAAATATTTATTTTGTACTGCTGTTTTATATGCATGTCAATTTATAAAATAATATTTCTGCTACAAAACAAAAGTTTATAATAAATCATTCAATTCAATGATGAAAGCTGCAAAGCAGTCATCAGTAACTAAATAAAAAAATAATATACACCTCAAAAAAGAATAGACGAAAGAAAGTAAGTAAAGTCTCACTTCTATCACTATTTAAAAGTTTTGGTTTCAGTTTGTGTCAATTTAAAGGTTCAGTCTGAGATGATCTTCATTTTTCTGTGTTAGTGGAAAAGCAGGCGAGTCAGCCGACCCAATTTATGAGCAGGCAAAGCAGGTTTCTTGCGCTAACCATTGGCGCAATACCGGTCTTTGTTATGAGCCGCAGTTTCAGTGTAAACTTAGGCGAGCTTCTTTGGCGATGATATGTACAGTATTAGATTTGACTTTTAGCGGACATTTGCGCTGAACACGCAGTGAATGCAAAGCATGGAGATTCGGGCGCCTTCTCCAAGAAGCGTGTACTCGATTGATCTCAGCTGGTGGATCATTACTCACCACGTGACGTGTCATGATCGCTCTCATCTGCGCCTCAACTTTAGGTGGGGTTTGCAAACCTGTGTGCTTTAAGTTTTCACTCTTCAGCCGTTTGCATTTCCTGTGGTCATAAAAGCTCCTTCCCTGTCATCTGACAGGGGAATACCTTGAGTGATTGACAGCTAATATGAACCAATATAGCGGCAGGGAAGAGCGATTCAGCACGTTTTTACAAAAAATCAAAACAGGTCGCACTACAACCATTATCTGCAGTCGCACTAATGCTCCCATATATATTATGAGGTCGCATAGATTAATTTTCGGGCGCATATGCGACCAAAATGGTCGCAATTTCGAGCCCTGTTTTGTAATCTGTATGAAATGAACATGGGGTACAGTCCGCCCTGTCAAACACATAACATGACATGAACTACTCAAACGCCCACAAACTTGTAAACAAAGAGTCGCTGTCATTTCTGGAGGAGATTCACCATCAAGACCAAGCTGTGGATTACTTCAGAAAAGCAGCGCTTTTCAGAGGATGATAATGTGTAACATGGCCATAAATGAGGCTGGTGTCGTGATCTCGTTCCTTTCGAGTGCTCATGTGCATTAGCTTGGGCAACCAGAAAAAATGCCGATTTTGTTTGATTCAAACGTTTAGAAACTAAACGTATGAGACAGTTGTTGTTTCATTTTATTGGTGATTCCAAATATGTAATGTAATCATAGGCTTGGCAAACAGTTTTGGAGAATTTGATGATTCTTCATTCAGACAAAATGCCAGAGCATACTGCCTGAGAGTCATTTCAAATATGGCCGTCGAGTGAAATGACTTGCCTTACAGGGACTTTGGTTTAATTTATAAGGACAGTGCACTTGTCCACTAAAACATTTTTCCCCGTTGTTGTCAATGAAAGCGCAATTTTTTTTTTTTTAGCAGCTTAGTGAGTGTTGTGCATTGTTTTTAAGTCCACATGAATCAGAAGTTGTTGACACTTTTTTTTTTTTTTAGTATGTTGTTCTACTTCTATCTGAAACTGAATATTGAGCAGGGGGCGGGGCCTTCTTTTTGTGCATCATTTTTTCTAATCAAATCAATGGTAAGATTGGGTGGTTAAAAATATTGTGGATGAAGATTTTGATTGAAGAATTTTTTTCCAAAAGATTATCTTTCATAAATGTTCACCTAAAGAATAACAATGTGCACTAGAAAAATAAATATTACAATTTTTGTTATTACACTTTTAATAGTTTTGCCAGTTGGAGAAGGACTCACAGCTGAGCTTTTTTTAGCGCTTCGATGTAAATGTGCCCTTACCTGTGATTAATTCATTTTTGTCTTCTCCTCTGTAGCCCCAGTCAGATTTGTATGGACTGATTCAGGTGATGATTGTAGTGTTTGGAGAGGAACCACCAGTTTTCTCACGGCCCAGCTCACAGCCAGCTTACCCAGCATTCCCAGCTGCAGGCCCACCTAACAGTGAGTGCAGACTTGTGCCTGTTTGTTGAGTTCACAGTGCAATATTTTGTATCTTACTCGGAATAAGTCCACTACGAGATCAGGCATGAATAAACAGTGATAAGGTTGAAGGTTGAACTAGGTTAGAATGTTTATCTTATAATAAAACAGAAAATATTTTTAAATTACCAGGCAACATCTTTATTCAAGAATGCTATTGATGCATATTTTCGAAAGCGATTCTTCTAGAATAATATTAGATGTTTATTATAAATTGGTAAGAGTTGAAAGGTTAAACATAATTGTTAATACTATTGATATTGTATTTATTCTTTCTTAAGAATAAAGATTCAAATTATTGTTTACATACTTTTTGAATTATGTATTTCCATAAATATAGCATATGATGTATGAATGTAATTTGGCATAAAATCAGTCAATCAGTCAGTTTACACGTGGTAACAATGAGTCAATCAATAAATACATAAAGTACTTTTTTATTTAACCTTTAATAATTTACAACTGATTTTTTTCAGCATCTTACATGCCAACCCCCCAAGGCTTGCCTTATAGTCAAGGTCATTCTGCCAATCCAGGGTAAGTGCTTTCAGTGTGTAGTGACTTTTTATATGGTCAACCAATTCTCACATACATTTTACACTTCAAATACATATTTTCTAAGGACTTGACTGTTTTAATACAACAAGGCTAAATTAAATCAGTACCTTAAAATTGTACCAATTTTGTTGTATATTATACATCTCATTTAGTCTTCTTTCATATGTGATTCTAAATCTAATGCATACAATCAGGGCTTGACTATAACTTATTTGGTCACCTGCCACTGTGGCTAGTAGATTTCCAAAATTTCTAGCCACTCGCCATTTTTTTAGCCACACTTTTCTTGTTGGGAAAATATATTTTGCTTAAATTTAACTTTGACATGCTAAAGTTACTTGATTTAGATATTGTGTTATGTTCACATTCCTCCTGTCCTGGCTAAAAGTCCCAGATCACCAGTTAACTACACATAAACGGGGAGTAATCTCCCATTAATAATTTTTATTGTAAAAAATTATAAATAAACCATATTAACAAAAATAACTGTAAGCAAAAGAAAGCAGGTGAAACCTAACGTGCACACGGTTAATGTTATGCCTGTTAATAATATCTTCTAAGAATAATTCAAATGAAAGCAGTGACAGCTGCTGCTTACAAAAGAATGTGTATTTTTTTTTTTAATCTGGAGCTCTTGAAAGCAGCAGGACTGTGGGTGCACGATCTTCGCTCTTTGTCCAGTCTATTTCAAAGGGAACCAATCTCACCCGCTCTTCCTTTAGGCACGGGTTCTTTGCGCAATTAAACGGGAGCCTGTGTGAACAGTCGCGCACATCACATTAGTTGTTAATGCGAGTAATCATGCTCTCATTCTGTATTCACCATTCTTTTGCCCGCGCTAACAGTTATTTTTCAGTCGTCAGTCAGTCGTGCTGCTTCTCGATTCTAATATCACATTTGCACGAATATTAGGTCATGCTTATTTTCGAACCCTGCTTTTAAGAAAACCACAATTTAAAAAATGATTTCCAACCAGCCAAAGTGGCTAGTGGAGGTGTCTGTCTAACCCACCAGAGCTGAAATCTAACCGCATTTGGCAGGTTGGTGGGTGTTAATGTAAAGCCCTGCATACAATGGTTATCTAATGTAATCTAATGCACAATCTAATCACAATCTAATACATACACTTGTGATTAAATGCATATAAAAGTTTTAGCTACGCTTAGAGCACTAACAGGTTATTATTATTGTCAAAAGCCTGTTGCGTCTGAAGTGAACATATAAATACATGAAACTAAATGAAGTGTGTTTGTGAAAACATCAAATGTGTGCATAGCTGTGAAAATGTCATTTCTTCATAATGTTGTGAAGTTGTACTATACACTTTGTCTTCTGTGGGTCAGAGTTTTTCAGGGCTACCCTTATCCTGCAACCGGCTCTGGATACCCCACTACCTCAGGGTCCTCTATGTATACCCCAATGTCTTCAGTCCCTACAGTGGGTGAGTAAATATTCATTCCTTGAGTAGATATGCCACTAAAATCAATTGTCAGTCAAGCATTTCTTTTTGTGTATTAGTCTCAAAAATAACTGAATTTTTTCGAAAGCTTGGGAACTTTTTTATTTAGGAAAAATGCATTGAATTAATCAAATATGACTGTGAAGACATCTGTAATGTTATTTTTTTAATGCTAATAATGTAATGTTATAATTTTTACAATAATAATATTAATGAATACCAAAAATAAAAATATATGACTTCCACAAAAAATATTAGGAAGTACTATCATTTTAAATTAAAGAAATGCTTAATTTCTTTAGGATCATGAACAAAGGCTTGAGTAATAGCAGATAATTCGTCTTTGTATTTATTGTATTTTTGAATGAATAAATACAGCTTTAATGAGCAGAAGATACAGGTCCATTACTAGCCTAATGAAAGAATGAAGTGAGAGCTTTTTTTTTGTTTTATTGATTTCTCTCCTTTTTTAATTATGAAGTTTAAATACTGTATTTAGTGACATTTTATGCACTAGTTTGAGCTGAATTAGCTTGCCTGCTGGTATCATAATGGGCATGTGTTTTACTGCACCATAAATGTTTTACTACAGTGTTGTCAATTGGCTTACTTTACTACTGAAGCATTTATTTGCAAATGTGTATTTAAACTGTATGTTTTGTAATATATTTATTTATATATTTAAATTTGAAACTTAATTCTTATAAATACGTTTATAATGTATTTATAATATGTTTTATAAATGTTATGAGATCAGATTAACTTTAGCATTTTGAATAAAGAAATATAATATTTTTAGGGGAAATACTTGTGTACAGTACTTGGCAAATGTATTAGACCAGCTATCATAAGAGAAATATTTTAAGAATCTGTTATAAAATAAAAATGTAAAACTTTTAATCTCTTAAAAAAGAAAACCGTTATAATAAAGTGCTTTAGTATTTTTGTTCTGCATCTCTTCTAAAATAAACAAAACAATAAGTAAATTTAAAAAATGATAATCCTAATTATATTATCGCATTAAAATTTACTTTTATAAATAAACTGCTTTTGGGGTTTATTATTTTATATTGGTCATTTTGTTCCAAAAAAAAAAAATTTAAATAATTTTAAGAATATGAAAATAAATTTAAATGAGTTATGTGACCGTAGTACTCAAAAGAGACTCTAGACTCACCTGACCACCCTGATGAAGTTCCTTGCAGAAACGCGTAGGTTTTTTAAGGTTTAGCCATGTGAATAAAAGCTTTTTAAATTTTACACATTTTCCGAGTGCCTTGGACTGATTTCTGTTGTTTTGATGAGTACCTTATCCAAAGGGCACCGACCAAATATTTAAGCTACCCCTGAGCGCTTTTTGTTTGTTTTAAGGTTAAGAATATTTTTCTCTTTTTAACAACATCTCAGAAGTGGAAGACGACTTCTATCATTGATCTAGGCATTTTCTTTTGTGGATAATGGACTCATAAAAAATTATTTGCTTGCATTTGCTGAAGTCTAAAACAGGGATGTTGATGGAAATAGTGTGAGTGAAGCCGGCAGAAGATTCCATTTGGTCTTAAAGCTTTCGTAAAAAAGCAATCAATTAGTGATTGTGTAGCAGTAAAAAAAAACGGGATAAGAAAGGTCAGGCTACAATTGATCGCGGTAATGTTAAATGAGTCAGAGGACATCTATTAGCCTAAATTAAATTGGAATTAAATATAATTAAATACTTATGATATTTTTTTATTTTTTCTCCCATTCCAATTACCAAACTTAATCCTTACAATGATAATAAAGCTTGTTAAAGAGCCTCTATTTTGCATTCTTAAAGGTCCTGTTTTGTCTTCAACAGCAGGCTGAGATGCATGCAAAGTCAAAAACCACCTCATTGTCACTTGTGCATTTATTTTAGCTAATTATCCCAATGACTCGCATATTATTTGTTCAGCAAATCATTTGTCTCCAAACCCCTCCTTTGCATGAGGCAAATCTTTGCTGATTGGTCTGATGACCCAGTCTGTTGTGATTGGTCGACTGCATTCAGTGCGAGATGCCCACCACGGTTATGAAGTAACACAGAGTATGTGAAAACTCAATGCAGGAGTGCGTTAAAGCAATGCAGTTAATTCTCTATATACTCTACTCTTAAACCTAACCCCAAGTAATAACAATGACACACATTCTGTATTAATCCACATAGTGGCAGAAGTTGAACTATTTTGAAAATTGCTCATGCCACGCTCATGGGGGACATAACAACAAACAGCAGGAGATTGTGAGTTTTAAAACACATTTAAATCACTAAAGAAAGAAGCACGCGTCACATTTTAACGTGGTTTTGCCCCATAAAGATTTAACCTGAGAGATGCTTTAAAAGCACTGATCTATAGTAAATATGTAAATACAAGTTACACACACTTGAAACTTGTAAGTTACAACACTTAAACATATTTTGCGAACTAGACCAAAAAGAGGCAACAATTTTAATTACACTTACATGTCATGGTCGGAAGAAACGGGTCCATATGAACTGTAACAGTTACTGACAAAGTCTGATAAAGACCCATACATAATCTCTGCTGCTCCTTCCTTTAATAGCAAACAACGTTGCATTCCGCTTGCAGCGTAGGTTATTGGATCAAAAAGTAGAAAAATGAAAGGAACAAATGGTTGGCTAAACTGTGGTGTTGTTGTGAAAATGAACTTTAACCCTCTTTATCTCAAATCCGAATCTCCAATTCTCAGTGATTATCATCTTAGTGTCATGATCAGTCTCGTGATCCCCCACGCTCCGCTAGTGTCTAATGCCAAATTCAGACTGCATGATTTCCATAGTAGTCGTGTCACAGATGTTTTCACACTGCATGACTATCTGGGCTAGCATTTTGTTGCTGCTTTGTTTACACTGCAAGATGGATCGGTGGCATGACTTTACGATAGGAAGAATCGCCAACAACTTCGTCCAAACTACGTCTCACAGCCAAAAACACAAAGTGTATATTTTGTTATTAACTACATAATGAGAAAATAGCCTTTAAGTGGGTAGAAAATGTACATATTTGCTCACCTGGGTTTGAAGGGAATTAGCAATTTCTCCGTATAACACGTCAAACAGACACGGGTGCTACTGTCAAACCTCCACTAGTTTTTCTCCCATTACTTGGGTCCAAATAAACTAAAAATAAGCGCTTTTAACTTCTCCCTAGTCAGTTGTGATCAAAACTGGCTGGAACTACCTGTGCATTTCAACGAAAATAATGCACACCCTCCAGCCAATCAGAATCAAGAATTTCAACAGACCATGGAATAATATCATAAATCATCCTCTCAAGATGCAGCAATCTGACTGTAGCACATCTAGTTCTGCTTACCATTTTTGTTTTGGTTCAAGAAATCATCTCAGCATGGCATGCTCAGATGGAATATGTCATCCTCACTTTCTGTTATTATTATTATTATACAGGTTTTGCTTAAATCTGCGGTAAGGACATGTTTCTGTCACATTTCACACATGCTTATTTCAATAAACTAAGCAGGTTCATGCATTTACATGCTGGGCAAAATTGGTGTTCGGGACAAAAAAAAAAAGTCTAGCTGTGACAATTGGTTTATGCCTAAGCCATTTATGACCTTACTCTGACACAGTCAAAAAAGCATTGACATGACTATCACATTTGTGGCTTTGTTGAAAAAAATAATCGTGTTAAGAACGTAAACTCGTAAACAAGAGTGTAAACACACTCGTTGTTGCTGTTTCAGGACCCTCCCGTGATGGCACCATCGGGGAGGACACAATCCGCGCCTCTTTGGTGTCTGCGGTGAGTGACAAGCTGCGGCGGAGGATGAAAGAAGAGATGGATGGAGCACAGGCAGAGCTGGACGCCCTGAGAAGGACAGAGGAGGACCTGAAGAGAGGCCATCAGAAACTGGAGGAGATGGTGACCAAACTAGATGTGGAGATGGTACTGGAGATTACTCAAAATATTCATTTGTGATTGTAGGGGAGTTAGTTAAAAAATTAGTTACTTAGTTAGTTAGTGTAGGGCACAGTTAATTAGTTAGTTGGCTATAACACAAGCTTTAAACATTTATGCACGCAACATTATTAACAAGCCAAATTATTAGCCCTCTTGTTTTTTTTTGCTCTTTTTCAAATATTTCCCTCATGATATTTAACAGAGCAAGGAATTTTTTCACATTATTTCTGATTTCTGTTTTCTTCTGGAGAAAGTCTCATTTGTATTATTTCAGCTAGAATAATAAAATAATCTTAACAATAGTTTTAAATCTTTAAAAAAAACATTTTAAGATCAATATTATTAGCATTATACAATGATTTGACTAATAACTCCAACTTGCCTATTTAAGCCTCTTAATTGTGCTTTAAGTTGAATACTAGTATCTTTAAAAAATCTAGTAAAATGAAATGTACTGTCATCATGGCAAAGATAAAAGAGTTATTATCAATTATTATAAATAAGTTTAAAAAAAAAATTATGTTTCCATTAAACAGAAATTGGGGGAAAATATACAGGGGGTAATAATTCAGGAGTGCTAATAATACCTTTTTTTTACCAGAGTGAATACTTTTTTTAGTCTCATTAATATTTATTTAGAAAATGATACAAGTCTGCTATTATTGAATCTCCATTTATAGACTGTTCTTAAATGCTTTTCTAGCAAGCAGGAAACTCTAACCAGGCTTAAATTGCAGTCGTTTAGATGGGGAAAATGTTACCATTTCACTTCAGTGTGGCCGCTATTGTCAGCTATTAGAAATTAGTAGGATCAGACAAAATCTGCAGACATATTTTGCTATTTCTGAATTGCAGAATTGTGTTAAAAATATGCAGATTTATGCAGAATTATTTTGGGAGTATTATAACTTAAAACCTCAATATATAAAATAAAAAGTCATACCTTTTTAACATACATGTTAGGGCTGTGCAATTAATCGAAAATCTGATTTCGATTTTGATTTTGGCTTTTAACGATTATGAAAAACCATTAATCGAGATAAACAATTATTTCATCACGTACCTCCCCCTTTCCAGTTGTACACATGTGAAAACTCTTTGCCTCTGCAAAGCTCAGTTCCACGTGAAAATGACTAAAAGCGTGTGCTGTAATTGAACTTTTGCAGCATGGGATGCGCATCATTCATATTTTTAAAAGCACAAAAGAGCACGTGCTGTTGTGTGTGCGCGCGCAGTGCTTAGCCTCGGACAGGTAGCTTGTGTGTGTGTGTGTGTGTTTGCGTGCGCGCCACGCTTAGCCTCGGACAGCAGAGCACACACATCTAACGCGACCTTAATGTGAGCGCTTTAATGGTCAAATACATGCACATTTGTGTCAGAGCGCGGTGTTTAGTGATTATTCATATTAACCATCATTTGTGTAATAAACAAACAAGTTGAGAATCAAAAGACACGTGAAAGAGAAATCATATCAGAGCCGCACTATTCTTAAAGTGACAGCGTGCCGTATTTCTGCTGCTGCCGACTGTTTTTAATATTAATCAATAATAAAATGTTTAATTTTATAATTAAAATTAAATCAAAAATAATTAATTAGGGTTAATAGACAAGTCATTGTATAACAGTAGTTTCTTCTGCAGACAATCAAACATATATATTGCTTAAAGGGGCTAATAATATCGAGCTATTAAAATAGGTTTCAAAATATTCAAACCTGCTTTTATTCTAGCTGAAATAAAACAAATAAGCCTTTCTCCAGAAGAAAAAAATATTATAGGAAATACTGTAAAAAAAAAATCCTCTGTAAAACATCATTTGAGAAATATTTATATATAAAAATAATTTCACAGGAGAATAATTTTGACTTCAACTGATAGTTGTTTTGAATAATCATGATTACAATTATTACAAAAATAATCGTGATTATGATTTTTCCCATAATCGAGCAGCCCTAATACATTTAATAATCAGAAGTAGCTTTACAAAAAAAATAAAAACAAATAAAACAGATGAAAAAAGGTAAGAAAAATGACCAATGATGCAATTTGGAAACATTGTTCATGTGTTGTAGAGCTGCTGATGCCTAACCCGGGGGCATAAACCAGGGTTATGCATCAGCATATACTTAACATAATAAGTATATTATTGTAATGTAATTGTTAACTGTTTAGTTTCCTGATTTGTTGGCTGACCAGTAGTTTTGATGTGTAGAGATACCGTTGCCTTAAAAAAACAAGTAAGAGTCATAACAAAAAACACAAAAGAAAACCTACATATATTGTAGAAATGGAGGTATAACAACATTTTAGTGGCTTTAAACCTTGAAACCGGTTATTGTACCTATCTCTGATTACACAGACTGATGTTTTTACCTTTACCTATATTTAAACTTAGAAATTTTTATGATGTGTCTGACTGAAAATGTAACTTCAAAAAATTAACAAAAAAATGTTCTCTCACCTGTATTGCAGGCTGAAGTGGACAGAAACATCGACCGCCTTAAGCAGAAAGACGAGGAGTTGACTGCTGCGCTGGAAAGAATGGAGAATCAGGCTGAAGATAATGACATTGATGATGTGATTGTACCCACTGCTCCCCTTTATAAGCAGATTCTCAACCTCTATGCTGAGGAAAATGCCATAGAGGACACTATCTTCTACTTGGGGGAAGCTTTGCGCAGAGATGTCATTGATTTAGACGTCTTCCTCAAGGTTTGCTCTTTTACTATTGTCTTATGTAAGTCACATGTGACATTACACATGATACATTAACACAGTGTTGTGTTGTGTGTTTGTGTGCAGCATGTGCGCCTTCTCTCCAGAAAACAGTTCCAGCTGCGAGCTTTGATGCAGAAGGCTCGGAAAATAGCAGGCCTCAGTGACCTGTACTGACCTGCCATCTGAATCATTTTCCTTCTCAGCTTTACCACATGAGGTGTATCATAAGAGCCCCGCAGCTTATAGAAGTACAGGATGCTGGGGATCCTCCTATTTCAGACGGTAAACTAAATACAAGTCGTGAGAAATACTTTATAATATAACTTTAATTTAGCCAGGACCAAAATTTCTGCGAAACCTAGAGATTATTGAGTCACACTTTATTTTGATGGTTCGTTTGTTGAATTTAACTTGCATTGCAACTAATTCTCATTAGATTATAAGTAGACTGTTATGGTTAGGGTTAGTATAAGTTGATAAGTACTTGCAAAGTTTCTTATTGTCAGTTAAATGTCTGTTGAAGGAGCAGTATCAACAGATATTAAGCGGACAGTCTACTAATACTCAAATGGACCATCAAAATAAAGTGTTACTGATTTTTGAAGTTTACGTTGACTATTATTATTATTATTATTATTATTATGATTAATATTAATAATAATAATAATAATATTGACAAACTGCCTTGAAAATCTTAATTATGCTAAAAAATATAAAGTGACCACTCCACTTATTTTGGACACTCACTTTACAAGCACTGAGTTAAACAGTTTTTTTTTTTTTTTTTTTTTTTTTTACTATTAGCATAAATCATTGACTCAGACTATTAATGTCACGCTTAAAACTGTAAACAAAAAATGTTGATAATTTACCTATTTAAAGCTTGACTTTTCTGTAGTTATATTGTGTACTAATACCAATGGAAAAGGTAGCTATTTTCTTGGTTGATATGCTTAGAAACTACTCTCTCATTCTTGCTTAATAATGATAGCATTAGGAACTACACTCTCATTCTTGTGAGGATAGCAGTGATTTTATGCAGCACCTGAAATAGTCTCCAGCTGGGTAAATAGGTAACAGAGCTGCGTAATATCATTGTGCCTGCTACAGCCATTGTACAGCAACAGAATCTCTTGATTATCATACAGAATGAGAGTATAGTTCCAAGATATATCAACCTAGAAAATAGCAACTTTTCATTTTCTCTTGGTCTTAGTACACTATGTAACTGCAGAAAAGTTAAGCTTTAAATATTATTGAATTTTTGAAACTATTTGTTTTTGTTTTTTTGAGCAAAATGCTAATGGTCTAATCCAATTCAATGATTTATGCTAAGCCAAGCTAAAACTACTCCAGCCTTACCTGAAGATTGGCTGAATGGATTCAAAAATGCTAAAAACTCAACTATTTAACTATAGGGGACTTGTAAAATGAGGGTATTTTCTGCCAAAAAAATGTGGGGTTCTTATAAAAGTTCAGCAATGGAAAAAATTGAAAATCAAATGGTTGCGATAGACATTTTTGCTCGGTTAAAGAGTTAAACATAGCCTTATAAAATCAATGATCATTGCACTTTTTGTAACTTGTGCCTTGTTATGTTCTTCTAAAATGTGTCAGAGGGCAAAGGGAAAGAAGTTTATAAATGGCATTAAAAATGCTCTGCCTGAATGTTAGTCTTATTTTTATACAGTTAATCGCTATTTATGTACCTGTAGTGAAAAAAGTCTCTAATTATATTATGAAATGAGCACTTTGTTTTAGTAAATCTTCATTAACATCTCAGAATCTGAATGCTTTATTATCCTAACACTTCTGCAGTGTGATTTATGAAGGTGTTGTCAATCATATTCATTATTTTCACAGTTGTTACATGGGGAGTTTAAATGAATACTTGGCATTTTCTTACATGCAGATTTAATGACAAGAATATTATGTAAACATCTTTCAATTGAACTTGTATTTCTGTTTGCGAAATGACAAAACAACAGATGAAGGGAACTTTCTTTGCTAAGATACTTTAGGTATTGTTTAATTGATGTTGTTTGTTTAATTATAACCGCCTTGTAATCATGTGTTCAGTTTTTTGCTTATCAAGAAAAAGAAGGGAAGTCTTTGTTCATTATGTCCTTGTGTTATGGGATATTTAAGAAACTAATATCTGAAATAAAACTCTTAAATCAGATCTCTTATGATGTCTTTGGAGAACATTATTCAGTGTTATTTGTAAAGGATTTCAAATTAATTTATTTTTGTTTTTGTTCAATTTTATTTATTATTATTATTATTGTTATTATTATTATTATTATATAATGCATTATTATATTATAATATATTTATCATATCAGTAGTAAAATTCGTATTACCATTATTCATTATAATTATTAATGTTTATTACAATTATTGATATTTATCAGTATGAGACAATTGTTTTTTTTCTGTAATTTGTCAAGAATATAATAATAATAATAATAATAACAATAATAATAATAATAATAATACCAACAACAACAACAACAATTTAAACAGTTCCATATTTGCCAGTCCATTGTTTTCAACCCAGGCTCATTCTGAAAACGTAGTCCCGTAGATGTTTCTGGAGAATGCCAAATACGTCCCGGGAGATAGGTAGTTTTGCAGTTTTTGTTTTCGCAAATCTGCAAGAGGCCGCTGTGTGCGTTTTTTCTTATCTCAAATGTAGCCCGCGCTGTTCTCGCGTAAACCCACCAGAGGGCGCTGTTGAACAACTGAATGATTGACTGGGCGACTGGCCAATTGACCGACCCACCCTCCTTCTTCCCGAAACCCAACCAATTTTACTGATTGACCCGCCAACCTGCTTACTTCCCTAAACCAAAGAGCTTAGAATGATCAAGAGGCGACACTTAATAGAATATTATGTAAAATAAAATTACTGATTAACATCGCTAAATAACATTGACATTTTGCATCGTAATATATTGTTAAATGAATATATTGTTGTTTTATCCAATTTTATTTAATTGTATTTATTTTTAAATGTATTTTGACACTCCAGCTATTCGGCAATGTTTAAAGTTTACAGTCATTTTATTTTTTAGATAAGATTGCACAGATGTATTGTTCATTTGATACTGAAACTGGATGAAGTTGCGTTAATAAAGCATTTATTAACATACATAGTAACCATTACTATATGCCGAAATAATAAAATATATAAATGTTGATTTCGGTAGTTTAATAATCGTTTGCTAACTCATTCTGAATAATTAATTAGAGGATTCAGCCCATATAGAGAGTTTATTCAAAATAATGAAGAACAAAGTCTGTGGAGCGAGGGACTGTATTCAACAGTGAGATGACTGCGCAGACTACAGGTTAGCAAAAAGTAAATTGATAAATAATATTAATAACACAAAACTAATAATAATATAACACAGAGCATAATAATCTGGCAATGATGGGACAGAGCAAGTATAAGTAGAGCGGTCAATAAGATCAACTGGCAACAAGTGAGAAATGCATGCGCATCAGCGCTTAATTGTAAAGGGAAACAGCTATAACACAACAGAGAAGTCCTAATCCCTGACCCATGACAAAATGATTTGTAAATTATCCAATACTTATTTAGTAATGAACAATTAATAAATAATAAAGTATGAAAATACAATTATTAATTACATTATAAGTATGCTTCTAATTGAAAAATATTACAAACTACTTACTAACATCTATTAATGTAGAATTAATGCTTAACAGATAATGCTAATGCTTAATCAATGATCCATACAGTAATGTGTAGTTATTATAATGTGTTACCTGAATTTTTTATCTTTTAAATATTTCCCAAATGATGTTTAACAGAGCAAAGAATTTTTCACAGTATTTCCTATAATATTTTTCCTTCTGGAAAAAAGTCTTATTTGTTTTATTTTGGCTAAAATAAAAGCAGTTTTAAATTTTTTAAAAACCATTTTAAGGTCAATATTATTAGCATTCTTAAGCAATATATATATTTTTTTTTGATTGTCTACAGCAGCAGCTCCCAACTGGGGGGTCGTGGCCCACAAGGCCTCTGCGAGCTTTGAGGGGGGATCGCGTCATATTTTTGTAAAAAAAATCTCAGCAGTGGACAATTAAAAGAAAGATCATGGTGCCTTAGTTCATTTTATCCCCTAGCTCATTGATCCTCAACCACCAGTTAGTGGATCAATTGGAACCGGGCCGCACAAGAAATCATTAATTATTTCCGTTTTATCTATTATCTGAGTCTGAACGATCTTTTATTTTGAAAAATGACCGTATTCGCTCGCTTGCGTCTCGATCACTTGAGCACCCAAATTTAACCCACAAGCAGCAAAATGAGTAAGAAACAGACGTCTTTAGAAAGTTTCTTTGCTTAGGGAAAAACGCCATGCGAAGGACTCGCGAACTGCCAAGGAATGGATCCGCATTCCACTTGTCAACAAATCAGGTGAATCCACCATGACTGTGCAAGAAGATCAACTGATGGAGATTGCAAATGACGGCGGCCTTTTAGGGGGCATTCGCTTAACGCGAATTTCTAGAGTCTGCACAAGTTTGTGCACGCAGAAGCAGTGTGACGCGCTCGCACCGCGAGACACGTGACCAGAATTGACCGATCAGCTTCAGCTTGTATGGAATATTTACATTTTAGTAACACTAATTTTCTCGGACAAACACAGAGCACATAAACACTGAAGTCCTTTTTACTTTTCTCCATAAATAAAACTTGTATCAGAGAGTGACAGCAATGTTTTGTCAGTTTGTCATCCTCTGAGAAAATGGTTGATGGTCGCATAGCAACCTACGAAACACCCCTAACCCCCCACAGTAAAATTGTCAACCGTTGACTGGTGCATGGTAATAAAAAGGTTGGGGACCACTGCCCTAGCTGACCAAAACTGGATGAATTTGTAATCCGTCCTCCAAAAAAAGACAGTCTCACTGATTCGCCTCGCAGCAATCCACACACAAATTGATAGAGCGTAACAAATAATATACAAGTAGTAAATTGTAATAGCCTGTATAATTTTTTTCCAAACACCTGTGTGAATACTGATATTTTTGTTAATGAATTTCAAATAGGGTCAATTTAAAGGCCAAAGGCTTACCTTTTTCAGTTACAAATGGTCTACTGATGTTTTGCTTTTATATTTTACATTAGGCTATTATTCATTCATTCATTCAATTTCTTTTTGGCTTAGTCCCTTTATTAATCAGGGGTCGCCACAGCGGAATGAACTGCCAACTTATCCAGCATATGTTTTACGCAGTGGATGCCCTTCAAGCTGCAACCCATTTCTAGAAAACATTAGGCTATTATTTGTGCATAAACATATCTAGATATGGTAATAAAAATAGTTTGTTTGAAAACAATTTTTTTGTCATCGTCATCCTTACTGCAAACTTATATGAGCGAATATATCATTAAATGTGGAGGGGGGCCTTAAATTTTTTCCGGGGAAAAAGGGGGCCTCAGGCAAAAAAAAAAAAAGGTTGGGAA